ATGCAAAGCTGTTGCCAGGGATGAAGTTGTTTCTTAATAAAATGGTTAATTTTGTAAGAGGATGTCGCACCTAAACATGGACGCACTTACTTAACAAAGCTTCAAAATATTATAAAGTGAGAACTGATAGAACTGCAATGAGAAATAGACTTGCAATTATAGTCAAAGATTTCAGTACCCCTCTCTCAATAACTGAAAGAACAACATTTTGCCATGTATAATGTGCACCCACATTTTTGGCACAAGCTTTCAGGTAAAAAACTTTGGTCTTAATTTTTTAATTCAACTATTTATTTATATTTAAATACTTGTTTTTGGTATTATGAAGGAATTTTAGCATTTATTTTTGAGCATATTATGGTACAAGAAATTTTATGTAACAAGTAATTACAAAACAAGAACAGATACAAGGTATTTCAGTACTACCCAAGGACAATGCACATCCTTATTTTTCTCTCAAAAATTTGGGCACAAAATTGCACATTATACACAGCAAAATATGGTAGGTAGAAAATCAATGAGTATATAAAAGATGTGAACAATGTAATCAGTTAACTTGACCTGATTGACGTTTATAGAACACTCCAACAAAAGTTGAGTACATGCACACTCTGGGCCGTGAAACAAGTCTCAATCAATTTAAAAGGATTCAAGTCATACAGAGTATGTTCTCTGACCACTTATCTGGAAAACCTCCACAATATTTAGAAACTAATGTATCAGTAATCTATAGGATAAAGAAATCAAATGGGAAATCAGAAAATCACTTGAATGAAAATGAAACAGTATGTCAAAATTATGAAGATGCTACTAAAGATGAAAGGTCTGAAATTAATGCTGTCAGCTTAAACTGAAGAAAGAAGAGCAAATTTAAACCCTAAATAATTAGGAAAAAAAGAGAAAAAGTAGTAGTTGGTGAACTAAAAAGCAGAAAAACAATAGAGAAAATCAGTAACTACAAGAGCGGGAGGATTCTTAGAGAAAATGGTAAAAAATTGGTAAGCCTCTGGCCAAACTGGTCAGGAGAAGAAGAGAGGAGGCATCGGCCAGTAGCATCAGAGGAGAGAGATGATGTCACTGCTGACCAGAAGGCCACAGGGGAGTATTAGGGACAGCTCTGTGCCAATACATTCAGCAGCTTCTGTGAAATGGACAAATGCCATGAAAGACACTAACGAGTGCTTGTTGAAGACAAAGAGATAAATTCAATAGCTTTATATCACTCAAGGAAATTGCATTCATAGTTTAAAACCTTCCCCAAAAAGGGGAACTCTGGCCAGATGGTTTCTGGTTATTTTTACCAAACATGTAAGGGAAAAAATAATCCTACATAAACTCTAGAAAATTGAAAAGGCTGGTATATCTCCCCAGTTCCTTCTATGAAGCCAGCATCATCCTGATACCAAAACTGGACAAAAACATGACAGAAAGCTACAGACCAGAATCGCTCTGGAACATAGATGCAAAAATTGTAAACAGAATGTTAGTTATATTTAACAACATATAAAAAGGATAATTCAACATCTGTTCTGGATTTTAAAGCCTTTAGCAAGCTAGGAATAAAAGATAACTTTGTTAAGCTGATGAGGAACAATCCACATCACAAAAAATGGGCAGCTATCATCATACTTACGGGGAAAGACTAAACACTCTTTCCTAAGATGAGGAACAAGGTTCTGTGCTCTGTTACTTCCACGTTGTACTAGGGTCCCTAAGCAACACAGCAAAGAAGAAAGGACCATTTTTAGAAATGAAGAAGTAAAACTGACTTCATTCACAGATCATATCATTGTCTATGTAGAAAATTTGAATGAGTCTCTTAAAAAGCTGCTAGAACTAATGTGGGTTTAGCGAGGCGGAGAAAGAAAAGATCAGTATACAAAAATCAGTTTTATTTCTATACAAGCAATGAATGGGAATCGAAATTTTTTTAGAGTACCATTTTCATTAGCATCAAAAAGGAAATAGCATAAACAGGAAATTAGTAGAGATCTCACCAGAGATGTGCAAGACTTGTACAGTGAAAATTATAAATCATTGCTGAGAGAAATTAAACAAGAAATGGATGGAGAGATACAGTGTTCAGCGGAAGGCTTGATACTGTTAGCATGTCAGTTCTCCCCAAGTGACCTACACATTCAGGGCACGGTAAAGCCCAGATGGCTTTTTAAGTAGAAATTAATAAGCCAAATCTAAAATTCTTATGGGATCAAGAACAACCAAAAGGGTGTTAGAAAAGAAAAAAGTTGGAGAGCTAACACTACCAGATTACAAATTTGTTACAAAGCCGCAGAAATGTCAGTGTGATGTTTGCTTAATAATAGGTACAAGATGACACAAAACTGTGTTCAGACACAGACCCACACGTTGATGAGCAACTGATTTTTGCCGAATGTAGGAAGACAATGCAGTGGGGAAAGGAGAGCCTTTTCAACTAATGGTGCTGGAACAATTGTATATCGCATTGCCCTTCCCCCGAAAAAAACAGTCTAAACCTCAGACTGTATGCAGCACTAACTCAAAATGGATGAGAGGCCTCCATGTAAAGCTAAAGTGATAAACCATCTGGAGAGTAGGGAAAGTCTTGTAATCTTGGGATAGGCAAAGTTACAATCCACAAATGAAACTGATAAATCACCAAAATTAAAAACTGCCAAAGAGTGAGAAAAAATAATATGCAAAAGGAATTTTGTCTAAAATTTGTAAAATACTCTCAAGTCAATAACAAGAAAACAAAAAAATTGGCAGAAGTTTTGAATAGACTTCACCAGAGGAGGTATTCAAATGGTGATAAGCATGGGAAAAGATGCTCAACATCATGAGGCAAATTAGGGCCCCAGTGAGACACCACAGCACTAATACCAAGTGCCAGTGAGAATGCAGGGACCCCCAGTGATCGTATGCTGCTGGCGGGAATGGCAGATGGTTTGCTCTCTCGGGAAAACGCTTTGGCAGTATCTTAAAGAGTCAAACACATCTACCGTATTAGCCAGTCTTCCCTCCTTTGTAGGTATTTACCCCAAAGAAAAGAAAGCATATGTCTTTATGAAGACTCATACAAGTAAAGAATGTTGTATTCATCTGTATCCATTGGAACCAAAATCTGGATAACAATACTAATGTCCCATCAACAGTAAAAAAGATAAATTGCGGTATTTGTATGCAGTGGGATACTGCATAGTGTAAGAGAGAAATGAACTGTTGATATATTCAACAACATGGATTACTCTCAAGATGGTTATACTGAGTGAAAGAAACGACACACAAAAGAGTGCATTCAAGTAAATAAATGTAAATATCTTTCCATTTATGTTAAACTGGTAAAAATAGGAACTACAGTAGCAGAAAGTCCATCATAGGGGATGGGATGGAAGGGCAGAGGGAGCGGGGAGAGGCACAAAGGCGCTGGGGGCTGGCGGGCGCACTTTCTGACAGTTCCAGGGCCTGTCAGAGCCTCACACTGCACATCACGCACGCAGTTTGTTACATGTCAGCTCCCCTCCACAAGGCTCGCATTCATTAACGGTTATGTAAATAAAACGTCTGGAGGCCACACACACACATACACACACACACATACACACACGATTGAGGGGGCCCTTAAAGATCAAAAGAGGTTCAAAAGTCTGAGCATTTGGTAAGATTAATTGTTAATTTTGTTAGATAAGACAGTGGCACCAAGTGAAAGCCCCCGTCTGTTAGACATAGTGAAGACTTTATGGGTGTAATTACACAAGTTTGTAATGTGCTTTGAAATCATCTCGTACGATAAAGAGGGAGAATAGATGGAAAATAGAGATAAAATATGGATAATTGAATCTGGATGATGGGTGCAAAGAGGTTCATTAAAGTATCTTTGCATATTTTTAATTCCCCCTAAAATTCTTACGTTTTTATGACTTTTTAATCGTTAGGATAGAATCCCAGGGGTTTCTCGTTTTAGCCCCCGCAGTTTAGAGCCTGGTTAGGTGTCCAGTGACCACCTGTCCCCGGGTGCCTGTTTGCACCTGGTGTCCCCATGTAACTATTAACAGGGTCCTCTAGCTTTCAGAGCATTTTAATCTGAACAGTACAATAATGCTTACCCTGGTCATCCTGGACCGTAGCGGCCTTCACATACCTGCTGTGTGTCTTGCTAGGCCACCTTCTCCCAGGGTCCCCTTGCAACCCTCACGCTTCTTCTTATCTAATGCCTTCCTGCTCCGTTTTCCAAGAATTGGTGTGGGCATCCTTCCTCAAAGCCCCCTGACATCTCCCCCCGGCCCTCGCCGGCCCGGCCTGCCAGCGGCAGGCCCCTTGTGCTGTCCGCCCCGCCCCCCACGGCCGGTGCTGTTGTACTGGGCCGACCCCAGTTTGGTTGCTTCACAAGACCAGAGACACGCTTTCTTTTCACTTTCAGGCTCGTAGTGCCTGGCAGCGTTAGATGACGCAGCCCTAGGGCCTCTCGGACTTCGCCCCTCAGTGGCTCCGCCTTGGGAGGGGTGTATCCCTTCCTTGAGACCACGGGGGGGGGGGGGGGGCAGCGGCCAAGGCGGGGCAGCGCTCGTGACCACGCCTGTTCCCGCACTGGGCCTTGCGAGAAGCTATTTCAGGGAACGCTGGAGGTGGCCCTTTGCTAAGAGGGAGCTTAGACAGTGGACGTCCGCGGAGCAGAATGGGGAGACCTCTGGCACAGTGGAGGAGCTCTGACATGGGCCAGGAGGAGGTTTTGGTAACGCGGCAGTATTTCCAATGCTTGCTAATACAAAATGCAGCAGTGATTGTGCCACCTGGCCTTTTAACTATATTCCCTTTTTCATTCTTCACCCAGAACACTGAGTCTGTGGGAAGACCGCCAGCTTCTCTCATTTTTTTATTGCTTTTTCAGAGCCCTCTCATGTGCTATGACATGGAAGGTGGTGTAGCATGCTAGGGACTTTACACATTTGATCACGTTAAAATAAAAAACATTTTTCAGAGATCTTGCACTTAATGTTTGTTTTTCTTTGCAATGTTCATAGCGTCGTCTTGGAGATGCAGCTAAGAAGGCCATCAGCAAGCTGACGACCAGAACAGTGAAGAAGGGCGATAAGGTACAGTAACAAATAGACTTCAACACTGTGGAAGCAAGACAGTAGTTGTGCTTTTGACCTGGTAGGAGAGAATGTACCCTGACCATTTGTGTCTCATTTGTTAGAGTATAGCCTTCTCCGAGTCTGTCCTAATGCTTTGCTTTAAACTGGCCTCTCTTTGAAATCCTGTGCATGGTGTACCTGCCATTTGGAGGCTTTGTCCAGAGCTCTGCCTCTCCTGGACCTTCTGTTCCCTGGCTGTGATTAGCTTCGCTGGATGATGCAGTTACAACAGCCGTGGTATTCCCAGAATTTCTTTCTGCCAAAACCTCACATGCTTTGGGGAAGAACATGAAGGAGCCAAGAATATGTGTCATCTTGTCTGCTTTCTGAGACACGGCCATATCTCCTTTGTGTTTTACTTCTTCACCAATGAAACAGGATGTTGGGTAACAGGGCCTCTCCCCATTGGCCTGGGGGCGGGCACGGAGGCACAGTGAGTCGGGGCCAGGCTGGGTCGCGGGGTCTGGCCCGCAGAGTCTGGCCCGCAGACACGGCGGCACAGCTGTGCCGAGGCCGTTCGCACCGTTCCCCAGTCAGGCCTCAGGTTATGCTGGAGCCCTGCTTCTCCTCTGCGAGGACAAAAGAGCAACTTGAAATGCGATAGTCAAGGTTACCTAGGATGAAAAAATGCCCACTCCGGAAGCATAACACCAAAGCCACCTTCCGCCCCACACCCAGCTCTGATGTTTCAACAGGGAGTTCGGAAGGATCATTTTAGGTGATTCTCTCACCTTGGTTTCACCACTTTATTGACTCAACTCATTTTATTCCCACTGCCTTGGCCCCGCCGGATCCAATCTCCTGCGATACCACACCGGCAGGGGGAGACGTGGTCAGCAGACTTCACTGCCCACTCCGGGAAGAAGGGGACACGCTGGCAGGAGACAAACAGAGGGGCCTCCTGGCCTCGTGGCCTCCAGCGGCCGCGTTACCTTCACCCTGCTTTGTCCCCAGGCCAGCACAGTGCAGTGCTTCCCTGTTGAAGCCCACACCTCCGCTCAGCGTGGATCCCTTGGCCCTGCCAGGAGCTGATGTGACAGACAGTGTCACCTTTCCTGGCTCAGATTCCTGGAGATGCTCCATTTGACGACAACATAGGGACACCCTTCCCCGAACCAGAAATGGAAGGACATGGTTGCTCTGGATGACCGAACACCTGGTTGAATCTTCCTGACTCTTGATAAGGTGCAGCATCCAGTTGAGCCCATGAGGTCTGTACCCCAGATCCGTGACCGTCCTTGAGGCGGGTCTCCAGGGGGCCGACCTCTGGGGACTCTGGTGAGCTCCAGGAGAGGAGGCGCACAGCGACACCTGCAGGCCAGAGAGAGACACAGCAGGAGTGGGGACCAGATGTGAGCCCTGTCCGGGGTCAGAGCTGGTTTGAATCTTGAAAAAAATTAGAATTCTGGCTTCAAAGGTGTTTCGCAAACAGAATTAGTATTGTTATAACAGTTTAAAAACAAAATAAATTGGTTTAGATATAATTTGGGTTGGTATATTAAGCAAGTAGAAACTTTAAGTTTTTTCATAACCTTTCACTTTATAAGTACTTGCTTCCAGTAGTTGCCACAGAAAAGTTCTCACCTGGGTCGCTTCGCTGCTGTTGATGCACTTCTGGCTCTAGCGTGTGACTTTGGTTCCTGTGTCCTTGCATTTCAGGAAACAGACCCGGACTTCGATCACTGCGCCGTCTGCATAGAGAGCTACAAGCAGAATGATGTGGTCCGGATTCTCCCCTGCAAGTACGTCGCCTTCGTATGTTTAAAGGAGAGCGCGGCTAGCGTGGGCTGTGCGTCTCGGCCTCCGACCGGGCACCTCCCGCCGGTCCGTCCAGCCGCGGGGCCGCAGGCCGAGGCCTGCCTGCGCGCTGCCGCCGTGGGGGCCGCAGTGCGTGGCCGGCATGCTCCCCAGCCGGGCCTGTCGCACGAGCCTTTCTGTAGTTAGACGCACGGCACAACCTCCAGCCACTGTCGTAGTCTAAGGAGCATTCAGGTCAAAAATGTTTCGTTCTGTGACTTGTGTGGGTTTCAGAGCCAACCACCGTTCCTCCTCCCCTGAGCCAGAGCCACAACTCGTCCGTAGGCCCTCCAAGCCTTGGCAGCGGTCACGGGCCGGCGCCAGGACTTGGGGACTTGGGGACTTGGGCCGTCCTTTTCTGAACCTGGGGTAGGCGGAGCCGGAGGGGGGGATAGGCGCTGCATGCCCGCCCGGGCCGGGCGCTCTGCTCTGTGCACCTCGCATCTCCTGTCTCCTGGAAGAGGGTGAGTGTTTCCTCCCTCGCACCCTGAAGGGTGCTAAGGCCCATGGTCCCTGCCAGGGCCACAGTATTCAGAAAAAGCAGAGCCGACACCACAGTGTGCGGTGACACCGGCGCTCCTCGGGTGAGGCCCGCGCCTCCCCGGGAGGGGGGTGTGCACCCGCAGTTCGGTGCCCCAGACGAGCACGTTGTCTGTGTCAGTCTGTCTCTTCCTAGCGTGGTGCTATCCCACGCTAGGGATCGTGAAACATTAGGATACACAGTTCCACGTACTGATTGGAAAAATAGGAAAGCGCCTATCGAGAAGCCTGAAATCAGAGATTTCTCCTCTTCCATCTCCCTGAGCTTTACAACATGTCCCCACAACTGCCACCTTCTAATCGTGCAGGACACGCCTGAGTGAAACAGTAGCAGCTGTCTCTGTGAGCCTACTGGTATAATTTAACTTAGAAAGTGATTTCTTTTGAGCCTAAGAAGATCTGCTTTTTAAAATATTCCATGGAACTTAAGAATAACTAGTTTGCATATAAAGGTCAATCTGTGAAAGTGCGTGTAAGCCGTCCCGTGGAAAGTTCAAGGAGGCAGGGACCAGTCGTCCCCCCCGCCCCCCGTGCGGTCCCTCCCTCCGGAGCAGGCCGCGGAAGGAGACGCACCTGCAAGTCGGGAAGCGGTCGGCAGGACGTCAGGCAGTGTGGTCGGCTCTCACCTGCTTTTTAAAACTCTTTACCTGCACAGACTTTTCTGGCACCAGAATGACCAGGGAGAAACCAAGTCTTTCCAAATACTCTGTCTTCCTATTTCAGCCCAGGGCTCGCGGAGCCCCCTGACACCTACAAGCAGAGGCCGCCAGAGCCGCTCATGGTTGTCGCCGACCTGAGTGTCTCCCTCAGGGGCCTCAGCTAGAGCTGTGTTACTGTCGGGCGCCCGCTCCCCGTTCTCTCCATCCCCTCAGCATTGGCTTTTCCGGAGGTCCGTTGTCGGCTCTCTGTTCCTTAGTCAAGCACCCTGCCGTCAACCCTGCCCGTGCGCCGGGGTTGGCGCGGCATTCAGGAGCAGGGCCCTGGCGGCGTCAGGCCTGTGTGTGTACAGTCCCGGGTGGCTCTGGTGCGGCAATGCCACGCCCTCCCTGGGGATCCCGATCTCCGGTGGCCTCGGTCGTTTCTGTGGTCACCTAGCACCCAAGGAGGCATCTCAGCCTATGTTTGTGGTCCACTTTTGAGTATTAGAATTAGAATTTTTGCAAACCTAACGTCATTTCCTTACACCTATAGTTCTGGCTCCGCTCTCTCCAGCCCTGCCTGTGTAGCCAAGGTCCGCGTTTGGTTTGGAGCAGGGGGATGTTTGCCACATTTACATCTGAAGCCTCCACAAGTTGTAGCTTTCTCTAAACTATATCACACATCGTGCCCAACAAAACATGTCACCTCATTGAAATGGTAACAGCGTGACCCTGGGTGGGGTAAAAATTAACTTTGTGCATTGAACAACGTTCTGTGGGACCAAGTTGGTAACTTTGGACCTGGAACAGGGTCCCTCGGCCTTGGCACTGCTGACATTTGGGAGCAGACCGCTCTTTGTTGGGCCGAGGGTGGCGGGCTGTTTTGTGCACTGCAGGACATGTAGCAGAGTCCCTGGCTCTAGGCAGGAGATGCCAGCGGCACCGCCCACACAGCCTGACCGCCTGGCCTGCAGGGGTCTGCAGGGGAGGCCCCCCTACCCAGGCCGTCTGCTGGGGGGCGTGACCGGCGCGAGGGTGTGGCCTGCACAGTGCACCGTTCTGTCCGGGTCTCCTCCAAGCCGCACTCCCAGCAGGTCCCCCTCAGTCCCTTCATTCACTCATGCCTTGTGCTGCGGCTTCCTTGCGCCCTCGGCCTGGACACCCTGCCCTTCCACTTGGGTCTGCAGGTCTCTGACACCGCAGACATGCGTGACTGCGCTGCTTCTTTTCGCTCGTGCTGCCAGGCAGCTCTGGTCCCTCTGGCCCCCGGGCGCTGCAGAGCCTTTCTCTGGACCTGGCTGGCTCTCCCTGGTCCTCACAGCAGTGCTTCCAGGTGTACTCGTTCTCCTTAAACACCTTCATTCGCCCCTTGTCCCCGTCCGCTCATCTCTTCCCCGTCAGCCGCAGAGAGAGGCCAGTGGCTGTCAGTCGGCTGAAATGGCTTCCCCAGCCGGCCTCGCGCGCCCGCCGCACCCCCATCGCTGGCCTCCCGCCCGGGTCTCCCCCAGCGGCCCGCCAGCCAGGCCTGCTCCCTTGGCTGCTCCCCCAGGTAGGTCCCTGTCTGCTCACAGGGCCCGGGCCTTCCCCGCGCCAGCTGCCCGGCTCTCTCAGACCGGCTGCAGGCGCCGCCCTGCTGCCCAGCTGCCCAGCCAGACTCAGGGAGAAACTGCATGCACTGTGCCTCTCCTCCTGAGCGCAGGCAGAAGGGCCCCGGGTGCTTTGGTGTCTGTCTGTCTGTCTGTCTGTCCTGGTTTTAACAGGCCTGCCTGGAGCCGGAACCAACCTTCCTGGCTTCTGTTGCATGACCTTTGCTTCCCATCCTCCGTCCCATGAGTGTGCTGTGGACGGATGGCAGCTGGTGTTGCTTTGGGACCTCCATTTGTGTCACTTGATAACTGCTGACCTTCCTTTGAATGTGAGCCAACGTGGGTTGAAAACTGAAAAGCTGTCGCCTCATTTAGACCTCTTTTATGGAAAGATCAGTCAGCCACAACATTCTTGAGTAGATAAAAATACTTTTCACAAGCCAAATACTGCCCTGTGGACAAACGTCCACCTAAGATGCCACTTTATAAGCTAAAACAGGTCAGTCGCCTGGCTGCTGGCCGACCGGTCACTGTGCTGCCCCCTCAGCAGGCGGGCCACTTGCGGCCAGTGTCTGCTGCCAGTCCCAGCCGGAGAAAGAGTGCGTATCTCTGACTTCGAATAACCCTGGATCCTTTTATATTTGCCCGGTTCTTGCATGGCACCACGAGGCTGCAGCGCTGCGACAACAACTCGCCTTCACTGTAGACCCCAAGCCCCTGCCGCGCTGCTCCGCTCATGACGTGGCGTGTGGCGAGCGGGGGGGGGGGCGCTGCGTCCCAGCATTACTGGTTTCGATCCTCTCGTGTGCCGTGCGTTTTGTGCTCTGTGTCCGCAGGTCTTTCTCGCAGGAATAAAGGACTTGGTTGAATCTCTGATCGGCTTGTTCTTCTCACGTCTCACTGTCCCTGGTTTTCATCCCAGTCCCACCATTCAGCCTAAATGCATAGGGCCCTTGTCTGCTTTTGTGTGCATTTTTGTTGTTTTATTATTTGTATCAAGTCTTATATAACAGAGGGAAGGGGGTTCTCTGCAAGGTCTGACTGGCCCCAGAGCTGCCCTCGGGGGTGGCGGGCAGGGGGCGCCTGAAGCCATCGGCAGGGCACTCTGGTGCCCGGCGCGCCTGCCTGCACCGTTTCCTGGGACACGTGGGAGGCATTCCCGCTGCCCTGCCTGAGTGTGTGCCTAACAGCACCCTTCATGCACGTCCTTGGTGCTGCTCTCAGGGTCCCATGTATACGGTTTTCACTCACTACTGCTCCCCACCCCTCAGCCCCAGCTCTCAGAGGAAGCAGCTGGGAGTCAGAAAGGGCGCCCATCCAGGCCGGATGGCGTAGCAGCAGGGCTTCGCTGGGGGGAGGCAGAGGCCATGCTGAGCTCGGTGAGGAGCCAGAAGCGAGAGGGGGGAGAGAATAGCTGGCTGATGGAGAAAAGAAACAAACGCAGGGCAGCTAGTTCCCAAGATCCCACCCTCCCGCAGCCCAAAGGAGAGGGATGTGCAGTGGAGATCAGGCCGCCGACCTCCGGGTCAGGGTTGGGGGACGGGCGGCTGGCTGGCCGGGCGAGGGGCTAGGAAAGCCGTGGGTGGACAGTCAGTCATAAAAGAAAATGTCATGGGCTTTTTAAAGAAAACACTTCTTTCAAATTTTGAGTTATCTGAGGAAGGGAGGCTCTTTGGGTTTGTCTCCAAGAACCAGTTAGTCTCTGTGGCCCTTTACGGGGTGCCCAGAGCCGGGTCCGAGTGCTTTCTGTTAAATCAGCAAAGCTGCAAGGAAACACCCCGGCATAAGGAAAATCTATCCCTCGGGTTTAAAGGACGAGATGAGCAGGGAACACTCATCTCCGGCAGCTTTAGAAATTACATATGGGAGCATACTGTTTCGTTCTTTCTGAATAACCAGAAACAGACCAGCAAGGTGGGCCATAGGTGGGGAAAGCGCAGGGCAGGTGAGGGGGTGGGGCTGGCCCCAGGCCACTGCCACTCCCCTCGGGGAGTCTCCACACCTGTCTGCCTCAAGCCCGCTGCCCGCCCGCCCGCCCCTGGACCAGGCAGCCCTTCAAGGCCACATGACCCTATCTCTTCTGTCACCTGTCAGCTGGCCAAAGTCCACTCTCCACCCCACATAAAACCAGCCTCGAGAACCTTCTTGGACTTCCATCCCCACCCGACGCTGACTGCACCCTCAGCATCAGTGGGCCTCCAAACACCTGTACCAGGTACTAGGCAGATGCACCCTGGTCGGGGAGGACCTGTCCTTTACATCAGAACTAAAGGCGCCTACGTCCCCAGAAAGAGTTGAAAGCTTAATTCCAGTCTTTGTGAGGCCACAGCCAGCAGCCGCGGGGACAGTGCGCAGCCGCGGGGACAGTCCGCGCTCTGAGCACGTGCTCAGTGCTGCCCTGCATCACGGAGCCTCGGTCGCGGATACGAGCAGCAGGAAGCGGACCCACGGTGCCTCCTGTACGTGTATTTAGTTAGGTCTCAGCTGCTGTTGGGTGACTTCTGCCTCTTCAGTAAAAACCTTCAGATTTAAATAAAAGCTTCCAGGGATGATTGGGTTCTGTTTCAGTGCATTCTCTGCAGGTTTCGAACTGGAATGATAAATTCCATCTTCAGGGTCTTTGTTCTTACCCCAAAGAAATGGATGCAGAGCCGCCGAATGGGTGGCAGGTGGATAGGTGCGCGTTGTTGGGGCTCAAATTGTCAACACAGATGTTTCTTCCAAATCCCAGTGGAAACTGAGTTTTCTACACCTCTTTTTAAAATCAAAACTGCATTTGTAAGCAGCTGTATCTAACTTTATAAGCTACGTGTACATTAACAAAGTTTTAAAGACATACCATGGTTCAATCTGGTACATTCCTCAAAATTTCTTCCATCTTATTCCAAGATGTGATTCCAGTTGCTGCAAAGGCCCCGGACATGGGCCTGCGCCTTCCCATGTGGCCGGGCCCCAGGCCCCCCAGCCCCTCCACCGCCGAGGGGCAGGAGCCAGACTGTGTGCTGCCGTCCTCCCGGAGGGCACGCCCTTCTCCAGGGCGGGAGCCCCCGTGGCTGACTTGTTTTCTCTCCTGGGAGGTAGTCACCTCTCTCTCCCCCTTTTAACATTTCAGCTGAAATACAGTTCATCCCTAAAAATAGCCCCAACTTCCTTGTGATACACAGACACTTAGCATAGGTTGCTTACAAGGGTTCTTTTTGTTTGTTTTGTTTTTTTATCCTCCCCTGAGGACATTTTTTTCATTGCTTTTAGAAAGAGAGGGAGAGAGGGAGGGAGAGAAACTTCAATGCGAGAGATTGTATGGGCCTGGACGGGGGCTCGAACCTGCAACCTTCCATTACAGGACGACACCCCAGCCCACCAGGCCACACCAGCCAGGGTGCTTACGGCTCTTTTAAGGGATGTTTTAAATGACATTTAGAGTTCCATGAAGCCAATAATCATACAGAGAACTTCTTCATTTTACTCTTGTTTAACATATTTTCGAAATTCCACTTTCCTTCTTTAGCCATTGTAGAAAACACAACTGATTTCTAAGGTGTAATTCATTGTCTTCATTCTTAACAAGTTTCCTAAGTTTTCTCAAATCATATTTGGAATTTAGTGGAATAAAAAGACCAAACAGCCAAATGCTACTTATCAGTTCTCATTATATAGTCCCGTGGATATATAAGAATGGGTTCAGGAGATTTTCTGTTAGCTCTTTGTTAATACAGTTGTTTTCTCATTTTGACCTAATAGTTTTTCAGTATGTAATTTCTGATACGATTGCCCATTTTTTTACAGGCATGTGTTCCACAAATCCTGCGTGGATCCCTGGCTTAGTGAACATTGTACCTGTCCTATGTGCAAACTTAATATTTTGAAGGCCCTGGGAATTGTGGTACGTTGCCTCTTTTGCTACTCTTGTGCGGTACCGTTGCCAAGTGGAATGTGACAACACACACGGACAGCTGCAGCTCAGGAGAAGGCGCTGCCTTCTTCGCCGCGGCCCCGCTCCCTGCTCCCCGCTCTGCGCTCCCCGCTCCCAGCCTGCCTCGGAGCCGCTAGAGTGGTGGGGCCTCTGGGCGGGAGGCGTGGGGGGGGGGGGGGGGGGGGCCGAGGTGGAGACAAAGATATGACTCTCCTTCATTCCAATGCCTTTAAAAAAAAGGGATAGAATATAGTCTTTTTGACTCCTGTCTTTAGCGTAATGTAAAATGTGTCATCGCTTAGGTTTCTTCCTCTTGAACCTGGCTTCCCCCTCCTGGGTTTGGTAAGCGGCCAGCAGTGAAGGTGGGCGGTGCCAGCCCCAGGCGAGCCTGGCCCCAGCTTCCGGCGGGTCACAGCGGGCTGTGACCGGCGCTCCCCAAGCGAGGGCCTTGGAGGCTTCCTGCCATTACAGTTCCTTAAGAGAAGTATACATCCAGGATTGTTGCTTTTTACACAAAAACAAAAAAAAACTTTCTGGTCTCAGAGTGAATGAGTAATCTTCTTACCAAGCAGAAAGTTCAGTTTGACCAAGAGATGAATTCCTCATGTTAGGCCCCAGCGGACCGGTCAGGCCCGGCTCTGAGGCAGACCCAGCCGCCGCGTTTCCCCCGTCGGCGTCGGCCGCGTGCCGACGCAGACACAGCGGAGCTGCGTGTCTCTGCCCCTGCACCGCGACACTCCGCGCGGCGGCCGCATCCCGCCTCTGCTAAAGGCCCCCAGCCTGACTGCCAGTCACACAGTGAAAATGTCTCCAGATGTCGCCAAGTGTCCCTTGGGGGAAGAGTCGCCCCCATTTGAGGGTTTAACACGGAGCTGCTACCATACTGTCTGGCATGGAGTAGATGCTTGGAAAATACTGACTTAGCCTCTTTCGTTGCCTCCAGCCTTGCTGCTGGTTTTCAAATCCTATTCTTCTGAACTGTGACTTTTTCCTTCCACTTTTAGTGAAAGTCCTTCCAAAATGTATTATCAGTGGCCATGGCTCCTCACATATTAAAAACACAGGATCAGCCTCACGGAGGGGGTGTCAGTATACGCACCCGTCCTCGCACTGGGCTGTGATTTTTAACTGGGCTGCGGGCGGATCCAGGACGCAGTGCTCTTGCTCAGGGAGCCATTGGTGTGCGTTGGGGCGGCTGTCACGTCTCTGTATGTAAGCTTCTCGGGGCCTCCGGCCCCAATTCTGCTTCTAATGTGCAGTCTGCCTGGGCTGAAAGAGTACGAGTTGCCCAGGAAACCCGGCAGGGGAGGCCCTGCGTCGGCAGATGCGTGCCCGCTTCCCAGGCGGCCAGCCGGGCCCGGGCAGCTCGGTCCCCCCACAGGGCCGGACGCTGAGCGGCTTTCTCACAGCGCAGAGGTCTCCCCAGCGGCCCGGCTCTTGCTTTGCAGTCTCACTTGTGTTTAAAGGAGGAAGGGCTTTAAAAACCGATGACTGGACAATGGGGCATCACAGGGATGTGAACGGGGTGAGCGGGGTGTCGGGTGCCACCTGCCGTCCCCGGGCGTGAGCCAGAGTCGCACACTCGGCTTTGTCAGCTTCACACTGAGGCCTGCGGTGCCTGCGCGTCCCCCCGCAGCTTGTCCTGCTCTGCAGAAATGAGGTGTCCGGTTTCCCCAGTTACACAGTGGATTTTGGTTTTTCTTTATAGGAAATTACCTGTTTATTTTAAAGAAAAACTCTTGGGTGAGAGTGGAAAGGGGAGAGGGGGAGAGAAATGATTGGAAATCACATGGAAAAAAACTTGAAGTCTTTTCAACATAGTTTCAAACCTTTAGAAATTGTTATTCTTACAACTACTTTTAATCTGGAACGATTTTGCAGCCAAATTTGCCATGCACTGATAACGTCGCGTTTGATATGGAAAGACTCACCAGAACCCAGGCAGTTACCCGGAGACCAGCCCTAGGTGACCTCGCTGGCGACACCTCCCTTGGCCTCGAGCCACTGAGAACTTCGGGAACCTCGCCTCTTCCTCAGGACGGGGAGCTCACTCCCAGAACGGGAGAGATCAACATTGCCGTAACAAGTAAGTGGGCCTGTGCCCAGTGAGCGGCCGGCGTGCTGTGCGTCAGCGCGTGGTGGCAGTTCCGGAGGAGAGCGGAGACAGTGACCTAGTTTGCACCCAAGAAAGTACTGGGTCCTTTTGTTAAACCCGCTGTGGGGGAGAGCAAGCCTTGCTCTGTGATAAGGGGCTTTGTGTATCTGTGTGCAATGAGTAGGAGGGGTTGTTCAGAGGTTTGCATCGGGTGCTGTGTATGAATGTGTTTTGAAATGACTTAATGCAAACGAGTATAAAGGCATTTGTGAGGGGCCTGCTGGGCCATGAAGGGCGGCAGCCACTGGGGGCGGGGGCGGGGCGGGGGGCGGTGGCTGTGAGCACCAGTGCGGGCTGCTTCCCCGGGCTGCGGGCGCCCCGCCCGTGAGAATCCACCGCGCTGGGGACCGCGGAGGTGGCCGGGGATGCCCGCTGTATTTCATGCCCTTCCTGAGGTTTGGTATTTCGGCACTTACCTGGTTGGTACAATTAATGGTACACAAGAGGGAGAGATGCCAGAGGAAAATCTGCCCTAAGCTTGTGGGCCGGTGGTGACGGTCACCATGAGTGAGCCGCCGGCGGGGAGAGGAGCGCCAGGATTTCGGTGGCCAGGCCGATGTGCGTGTGAGTGGTGGGCGGGCGTGCGTGGGGCTGTGTGCGCTGTCTGCTGTGACCAGCCGCTGTCGTCTTCAGTCCCACTCTTCCTGTCACTCATCGCCCGGCTCCGCACCGCCTCGCCCACTCTGCGCTGCCTTCCCCCGCGTGCGCTGCCGCTTGCCTCCAGCTTCGGCCCGAGCCTCCCGAGACCCCGCCTGACTCAGAGTCCGGCCGTGGGGAAGCCGCTCGGAGAGGCTTGCCCCTCCCGCAGTCAGACTCGTGTGGTCCGCCAGTGAGTGTGCACGGGCTTCTCAGCAACCAAACACCGCCAGAAAATGGTGTCCCAGGTTCTCGTCTGCCATTGTTCTAAACGCAAGGAGCCTTCGTTCCATTATAAAATAAGTAAACTAGTCCTTAATTTGGTTTGACTCATTTCTGACCATTACCCAATAATTTGTTTTCGCAGCATTTCATATTTTCCTGCTTTGGCGTTTAGATTTTTTTAATTGGTCTAGTAGTAATAAAGGAGATGAAAATTGTTTGTTTATTAATGAGTTTTGTAGCCCTTCATTGATCAACATTTATTGAGCACCTACTACAATATTAAGTACCGATTCCATTATACTTAATGTGGAAATGTCCTTTTAAAATCTCCTATTTTGATGATAAAATTTCATTTATCAAATCAGTCACTGTTAGCAGAATTTATGCATGTTAATAAATAAAGTCCACGTGGCTGAGTTACAGCAAAGCTGCCTGTCTCCTCCCTCGAAGCCCCGCAGCGCCCGGCAGCCACCGCGCACGCAGCCGCCCTCCCGCCCAGGTGCCCGCACCGCGCAAACCAGGCGCGGGCGCTTGGAGGTGCCTGCGGCCCCGCGGCGGGGGCCTGTGCTGAAGGGCCCCGAGCCTCTTCGGTGCTGTCACGCTGGGGTCTGCTGTTTTTTTATGACGAGGCTTTTGTCACTGAAATTCCACACACACATGGATGGTACAATCAGAAGCGTGGACGTAACTGAAGTTCTAAAAGAGCCTGCTTGTCAGGCATGAAAGTCTCCAAGGGAAAAAAAATAAGAATGCCGTGTTAAGCTTCTTGATACTGATAACCAATCATCTCCTAATTTTTTTAAATGCCAATATTCATGTTTTCCTAACAACATATATGCAGGTAAAATGGTGGATTTTGTGTAGGTTCTTGAACATTTATTTTGACTTATATAAAAACCTTATAATTCACTCTATGAATGAGAAGTTTATAATCTAAAGAGCAGCAGCTACACTGTTATTTAAATAGAACAACTTTGCTAAGTCTTTTAATAAACCAAGGTGGATAGAGAACTAAAGATCAGCACCTTTAAAATCCAATGAAAGTAGAATCACCTTTTCCCAGAAAAATCCCTAGGCGCACACAGCATAGTCACAGGGTTCGTGGAGGCCAGACTGAGGAACGCCCCGCTGCATACAGCTCCTGCGCGCGCGCGGCGGGCCCGGCGCCCCCTTCCCTCTGCCCCCTGCAGGCGCGTTGGCAAGCCAGCCCTAGTCAGTGTGTGCCCCAGGAAGCGTTTCAAAGCTCACACTTTGAGGATGTCAGATTGGTTCTCAGGTTATTTTCAAGATTCCAGGTAAATATTTTTAGAGTGTTACTCATAATGCCGACTTTGAAAAGTTCAGAGAAAATATAAACTGACTTCCTGGATCTAGAGCAAGACTAGATACAAACCCTTAGAGTTCTGTGTACCAGAGGTTTCAGCCCTTTGCTGGGCAGGTAGCTTGTGAATCACCCGCCCTTCCTGCCAGGCGGGACAGAGCCAGAACAGCCCGCACAGCACCCAGCGGTGGGCTTGTGAAGGGAAGCCCTTTGCAGGAGACACCGATACCATGTAATTTTTAAATACAGACTGTAAGTAACCTGTGCACAGGAGAAAAGAAGGTAGATGTGAGTGCCGCGGAAGGCCCACCTGCAACTGCTCGGGTGCCCACGGGACCTCTGGGAACCACTACTTCGTGTTCTAAGCCGTTGCCTAAGGATGAATGACATATATGCAGAAGTGACAAAATGAAGAACGAAAGGTTTTATGTATGGCTAGTCTACTGTCACTTCAGTGAACAACTAAAAACAAAATATCTATGTCCACATGCAGTTCTGTGTACATATTTTCACTGCACGGTTTTCGGTGGCCACACGCCTCACAGACCGCAGGACGTGACCGGGAAGAAATGCCGGGCCGCGCTTTCCTGTCTCCCTGGCCGCTTCCACCACTCCTCCCACTAACCTCCTCCAGCTAGGAGCTCTCTGGCAAACCTCCTCCTGCTTCACTTCCTTGGGCCACTCTGGGCTTACACCTCCGTTGACGTCTGAGTCGTTGCTTTTGAGGGAAATGTTGACATCGATTTGCCTTAAGCCTTCTCCCCAGAGTGATTTCCTCCCTTTCCTTTGTCAACAGAAGAATGGTTTATTATTGCCAGTTTTGGCCTCCTCAGTGCCCTCACACTCTGCTACATGATCATCAGAGCCACAGCTAGCTTGAATGCTAATGAGTAAGTAAAAAATTGTTTTTTGGATTGCATGTACCAGATGATCCCAAGAAAACATGTAGAGTAACTTTTATAAAGATGGTGAGGATTGGCTTTCACCAGTTTCATACTGATTCTGACGGGATCATACCTCGCAAAATAATTCATTCCATGAACAGAAACTCAGAGGGGGAGCCGCCTTGCTCGGCAGCACAGCTCACCTGAGAAAAGATGCAGGGCTTCCGTCAGCCAGACCTTAGAGGGGATCAGCGGCGCCGTGCAAATGCCAAGGGGACCAGTGCAGTCGCGGGACAAAGCCACACTCGTGTCCCGACCACTGAGGGGGCAGCCCCTGTACTCTGAGCCCGTCGGACTTTACCTGGAGTCTGATGTCCTGAGCGTTTGGTGGCGCCCTGGCCAAAGGTCAAGGAGCAGTGACCTGCAAGAAAGAAGCAATTGGGAAGGCTGTCTGGGGGGAGAGGGGGTGAAGAAAATAGGGCAAGATGAGGACCAAAGGGTAGGTTACGGGAAGGCAGGTCTCACCGAGGTAGAAGGAAGACATCTGCCAGTGAGACATTTTGCTGTGGGAGTGGGGAGCACCCAGGACTAGGAAACTGGATGTCACTTGTCAGGGCTGATGTTCGTGACAGGTTTTCCAGAGGATGGAACATTGGGCTAGGTGACTGGTAAGGTCCATTTTGACCCACTGATTTTCCAAGATTAGCTCCCCACAGGGGTAAGATATAGAAAAGGGTTTTGGTTTTGTTTGTTTTGTTTTACATACCGGACATTTACTTTAGGATATCATTCAGTCTTTTACCGGTATTCAGGCAAACTGATTCGAGATGGAAGCCTCCCTGGACCGTGCCCAAATCCGAACATAAATGGTGCAGGTGGAACTCACGTGCTCTCCATGTCCAGTTATGTCTGCTGCTTTAATTGATTAATAACAATCAAGCAAGCTCCTGTAATCGATATAATTCAGTGCTCATTGTTCAGCCGTAGAAACTATGGGCAAGTCACTTCCACTTCAGTGATGGGATTTTATTACCTCTCACCTGATGTGTTGACAAGATGCCCACAGGAAGTGCCCTTGGGACTCCTGACCAGCGGCGTGTTGGGAGGACGTCGTAGTCAGGTGGCCGTCCTCAGCCTGGAGGTGGGTCGTCCCTGCCTCATCCAGCCGGCTGCCGGCCGGCCGCGCTCACTGGGCGCGTCGGCTGGGTGCGCCAGGGCAGGGCGGCTCCAGTGTCGCCCAGCGCCACCTGCGCAGGCCCCGGAGGCACCCGTGCCTGGCTAAGGCTCCCTGCTGCGCTGGCTCCTGGAAGCTCGTTTTAGTCCTCCATAAAACGGGTGGTGGCAGGAGGGCGTCCTAGGGACAGCACGCGAAGCGCTTAATACAGTGACGGGAACGTGATAAGTGCTCAATAAATGTTAGCCGACGGGTTCCGCTGAGACGCTTTAGGTTCTGTGAGTGAGCTAGCCGTCTGCCTTGCTCATGTGGCACATGAATGTGCTTTCCTTCCTGAAACAGGATGCAGAGTCCTAGGAGCTCTGTGAGTGCCTATGATTAAAGCCACAGTTTGGAGGGAAATGTTTATATTTCACCTGCAGCCACCTCTTCTGCTTACTCCCATACTGACCCATGAGGCCAGATGACTTCACAAATGACTGAAAACCATCACAGCAAATAGTGGCACTAGGGGCACTTTTAGAGAGTTTTTAAGTAATTTAACGGTCGCCTGGCTGCCACTCACTATCTGCAGACGTGCAGTTCATGCATCAGCTATTTTAGAGAATGCTCAGCGGACCTGCCACCTGTCCGAAGCCCGAGGGCCTGGGACATGACATTTCCGCTCCATGCATAAATGCCTGCATGCCTCAGAGTCTAAGCCACGGCCCCGAGACCCGCGTCTCAGTGCAGCCCGTCTCCCGGCAGCCTTGAGGCCGCAGCCATGCAGCTGAGTGGTGTCTGTGTGCCTTCCATCAAAACCGCCCCGAAAGGTGATTTTCATGATCCCATTTAAAGAGAGAAGCTGCGAGAGTGTGAGAGTGTGTGTGCGCACACGTACGGGTGCATGGAAGGTGCTCACCAGAATGTGAATGGTGGCTGTCTCACCTTAGTAGTCTTGTGGTATTTTTCTCTTTATTGTGCTTTTATGTATTGCTTTTTCAATAGCATGAATTACCTAATTTTTTTAAAAACTTTTTTTAATTGTAGGAGATAATAGTCACTCAATGTCTCCCCAAAGTGTTGGTGAAAAACTTTAATTCCAGAAAAAAGTTTATTTTAGCAAATAAATTTATAAGTAATCTCATTCATGAATTTTTTGAAATCCATTTTAGTCCTGTTTTTGCCTTTATCAAAAATTTGCAACCAAATGAGATTGCCTTTTCAATTTAATAGCTCTCTTTTAATTTTCTAGGGAACCTCATTCATTTGTAAGAGAGTCTTCTGTTAGAGTTCACTTTCCTGACAGCATTGCACTGCACTTGTGTGTGATTTCAGCAGGACCTTGACCCAGTCTAGTCATTTGTGAGCCAGACGAAGCATCGCCCGTGCGACGTCAGGGCAGGCCCAGGGCACCAGCAGGCGGCCGGGCGCCACCCGCCCGCATGGGCTGCTGCCCACCCCTCACCCGGCCCTGCAGGGCTCCCCGGGGCTTGTGCTGTTGGCTTAGTCAGAAGTCAATCAGAAGTCCATGTACCCGGGGTCCCCCCGCTTCTACTTTGATGAAATTCTATTTAAGTACTGAACCATGACTAATTGTGCTTTTAATTTGTTTAACACTGCAAATCTAGTGAATTTTGAGACTTTGCAATATAAATAGGATAGTAGTCAAGCAAATAAACACGAAGTAAATGTATTTTTACATGTTTGCTTTTCATACCTCTGTCTCTTAGTGCCTAAGTAAGCAAGGTTATTGAAGTTAATGTCCAGAGGAGGTTTTCTCCTAAACTTCATTATTCAAATAGACCTTGTTAAAACCTAGCATTTACAGACTTGCAATTATATCAAGCCAGTTTTCTCTCACAATAAGAAGAGTCAGTGTTGTCATTGTTTCTTTATTTGAGGAGCAAGCAGTGAGATCTGTCGACAATGCGGGCAATTGTGAGTCGAGTGGCAAGGTCAGCGAGGTGTCCTCTGCAGCCCATGTCAGTCCCTAGATTTCGATTCATGGAAATTGCACCCTAAAATTAGCAGAGGAGTGTAGCCTAAACATTCAAGATTGAAACAGCCTGGGCAGGAGGAAGTGAATGGGCAGGATGATGTAACTGGAAAAATGGGGCCCTATGGCGTTACCCACCCCCAGAGCCCTGGCTCTGCAGCAGGCAGGCGGGCCCAGGCTGCCCCCAGACCACATCAGAGGAACTGGGGTCTCTGTTTTACTCTCAGTATTTCTGAAATGTTCTGCTCAGACGCTTTAAGAGGAACACCGACATATTGCTATAGAAGAGGGTCTGAAAATGAATCATTTGATGTGTTGGGGATGCTTAGCTCAGAAAAACAGGAACCTAGGTGAGATGACAGGTGTCTCCAGGGGTTTGAAGGACTCTCAGAGTGAGGACAGCTCCTGCCAAGAACGTGCTCCTGCAGTGGGCTCTGCTACTCTCCACATCGCTGCTAATGCCCCTGAGCAGGGCTCACAGGCGGCGACTCTGCTCTCTGTGAGGAAGACCTTCCGGCCAGTCAGGGTTGCCGCCCTGGCGTGGGATGTTTTGAAAGCCCGTGAGCTTGCCAGGACCCGCTTATTCAGACAGAAACTGTTCAGAAACAGGTCCTATGTCTGGCGGAAGTCACAGATTCCGTCCAGCTCTGAGAGTCCCTCCTGAACTGGTCCAAAATGGCCCCTTCCTGGTAGCGATCAGAGCCAAAGGAGAGGGCTAGGTTCTCTGTTGCCTTTTTTAGGACTTTACGTATCAAAAGCAGTGTTTTTAACATTCATTTTTTATGCCATCTCCCACTGTAAGAAATACATTTTGCATTGTGACCCATGGCTCCCACGTCTACTCAAACAGCTAGAAGGGAAATTTCATAGACATTTTCCTTGTACATGCAATATTCTCTGATCTGTCCTTCTCTGTGCTTTGTTGTTGTTAATGCTCCTACACTGATTTTACAATCCATCAATAAGTTTGAGAAACAATAATCTAAAGAACTTTGAATTTTTACTTCTTAGCTCCTTACTGCTTGCTCACACTGGCTCCTGTCTTTATTTCCCTGAGACAGCCTTTCTTGTAGCAATGCCAGCAAAGATTTGAACTTGCCTCTGTTTGTTAATGGACCCCCTTCTTTCTCTGAGTATTTACTTCTCCATTTAGCCCCCTGAGCCTGGGATACATATGGAGGAGTGAGCTGAGGGCCAGGCGGGCCAAGAGACCCCGAGCAGCGCCGGGGCGGCCGAGCAGCGTTCCTGGTCAGCCTCTCCCCTCACACCGCTGGTCTCTCACTTCTCCAGGGAGCCATGTAAGAGCTCCAAACTATGTGGCTGAAAATGACAAATTTGGTTTTCTAAAAACATAATGACAAGGAGGACTAAAGGCAGTGGTCATTTTTTATACTTCAGAAATACCTTTAATGTTGTGGCTGCATTAGTTTATAATTTCTCAGTAAGACAGCAAAATAAAGTAAGTTTAAATTTTTTGATTCACCCATTAAGAGTCCTTATCCCTGATTTCCAGCTTTTGTAAGGAAGTATTATCAAAACAATGCACTACCTTACGAATGAACTAGAGTATGTAATAGAGCCCAGAGCTTGACAGGAAGTGGCTGGGAACGGCCTCTCCTCCGTTCAGATCCCAGGGTGCCTTCCAGCCAGGCCTGGACGGGAGGGCCGCCCTGTCCCGGGCGCCCCAGCTGCTGACGTGCCGGCAGAGCGAGAGCTGCCTGTGGGAAAGGCACAGTCACTCAGCACCACACGGACGGGGTCGCTGGCCACGTCTCCCCAAAAGGCTTCCTGCAGGCAGTGACGTAGAACCAGGATGAGCATAGTCAGGGCACGCAGTGAGGAAAACGCAGAGCCGGTTCAGGGAGTCTCGTGGGCAGTGTGAGCACTAGGGGCGGTCGTGGCGGCAACAGGCAGCTTCCAGAGTTTAGACTTTGTCCTGTTGAATGGTGAGTAACTGTAAGGCTTTTCAGCAGAGGACACTTCCCGGTGGTAGAGGAGGCACATGGGCTGGTGGACGGGAGGCCGGGGACAAGCGCAGTGAAAAGGCAGGGAGGAGCTCAGGGCGGTAGGGGAGGAGGTGCAGTCGAGAAGTGCCAGAGGGTTGTGTGAGGGTGGAAGACGGTAGTTTGAATCACGGACCCGGAATTCAGCAAAGAGAGGAGACCAGAACCGAAGACGTGGTTTGGGAACTGCAGAAATGAAGCTGACTGTACAGAGCGCAGGAAGCTGGGGCCCCACCAAGCTCGCCATGGTGCAGCGCCCCCCTGAGGGCAGTGCAGGAATCGAATGGGCAAAAGACCGGAGGTGCCTTCAGATGCCTGGTGCAGGGACGCGCACACGGGTGATCTGGGGGCCCCCATAAGAGAGCCAGACATCCCTGGGAGACTGTACCCCTCAAATATTATTTCAAAATAGAAATGACCTTCTTGTTTGAAGATAAGGGGAGAGTGTGTTTTAAGGACAACAGCTACAGATTTCAGGACACTCAGCACTTGAACATGTGTTCACTTGTGTGATTCTCCCGCATTTTTAAACAAAAAGCTGTTAGCCAGGAGTGCCAACACCTTTCTGAGGTGACCGTGTCGCTTGACCACAGGCCTGATGCTGCTGCGTTCAGGAAGGCCTGAGGGCTTCCCGGCTTTACCCGACGCGGTTGGGGAACAGGGACAGCACAGGCCACCCTTCAGTTAGGGTCAGTTTTTCTGTTATTTTAAAACTTGGACAAGTACCCTTTAATTCTTGACCTGTCTTTTTCCTTTTATCCCATAGGGTAGAATGGTTTTAAAGAAGAAACAGACAGCTTTCTGACTGGTTGCCTCGAAGGAAAAAAGAACCTATTTTTGTGCTGCATTTACCAATCATGCCACACAAGCATTTATTTTTAGTACATTTTATTTTTTCATAAAATTGCTAATGCCAAAGCTTTGTATTAAAATAAATAAATAATAAAATGAAAAGGCTGCGCAGTGAAGTATTATTCGCCCCCTTGGGTTCGCAGGCTGATTGGGGTACCGCGCGCCCAGACATCTGCTGCGGAGACCACGCGCCCACCACCCGGGGCCAGGCCGCTCTTCCTGCCAGCGTTCTCGCCACTGACTGCTCCCGTGCGCAGACGGGGCCCACGCCTGGCTCGTCCTCTGTGGCAGTGCCCCTCCGGCTCGGGGTCACCGCTCATTCTCTGATAATACCTTGTTCCACTGCGGTCGACAGGCCTGCAGCCACAAAGCCAGCTCCACAGCGGAGGCAGCAGGACATTGTGTTGCTTGCCGCTCTGTCCCCATACCTAGCAGAGTGCTTTGCACATAGTACGTGCTCAATAAATATTTGTGGGATGAAGGGTTGAGTGTAAGAAAAATTTCCAAACTACACACCAATTGGTAATAAACTATATCTGCCTGAATTTTTAAAACCTAGTTTGTACAGCATTCTTTTAGAAAGCAAATTCTAAAAAGTTGGATAAAAGCCATTTTACATGTATAAATGAAATATGTTTGCTTTATTGATGAAAACAATGTTGAAATATTTTGTTACAGTGAATCCTGTGCTTGAAGGACCGTCCGCACGCGCAGTGTTCTGAGCGGTGAACTCCCAGCCTCCCTGCGGATGAGGACGTAGCCTGCTGGTGGCAGAGTCCTTCAGCAGCCCTCCTCTCCCTGGGGGGCCAGGGTGGGGGGGTTTCCTTTTTCTTTTATTGAGCTATAATTCACAAGCCATAAAATTGACCATTTTAAAGAATAAGCCATTTCAGGGGGTTTTGGTATATTCACAAGGTTGTGCAGCCATCACAACTCCAACTCCAGAGCATTTTCATCACCCGAAAATGAAATCCCTCCCCATGAACAGCACCCCTGCCCGCATCCACCTGCTGTCCACAGCCGCTCAGCTGCCCTCTGTCTCTATGGATGCATCTACTTGGTGCATTTTACATGAATCGAATCGTACAGTCTGTGGCCTTTTGTATCTGGCTAATGTTTTCAAGGTTCGTCCATGTTGTAGCATGTATCAGTACTTCGTTCTTTTTTGTGGCCACATAATACTGCACCACACGGAGGTACCACATTTTGTTTTTGTTTTCTATTTTATCGATTATGCTATCACAATTGTCCCAATGTTCCCTTTGCCCCCCTCCCAGCCGGAAACCTCCGTCCCTCAGGCCATCCATACACTTTTGTTCAAGTCCATGGGCGATGTGTGTAAGTCCTTTGGCTACTCCACTCCCTATCCTGTGCTGTACGTCCCCATGGCTGTTCTGTAACTACCTGTCCGTACTTCTTAATCCCTTCACCTCGTCACCCACTCCCCATCAACCCCCTCCCATCTGGCAACCATCAAAATGTTCTCCATATCCATGATTCTGTCTCTGTTCTTGTTTGCTTAGTTTTTCAGATTCACTTATTGATAGATACATATTTATCGCCATTTTATTATTCATAGTTTTGATCTTAAGTAAGTCCCCTTAACATTTCATATAATAATGGTTTAATGATGATGAACTCCTTTAGTTTTTTCTTGTCTGGGAATCACTTTATCTGCCCTTCAATTCTAAGTCATAGCTTTCCTACGTAGAGCAATCTTGGCTGTAGGTTGCTGTTTTTTATGACTGAATATTTTTTGCCAATCACTTCTAGCCTGAAAACTTTCTGTTGAGCAATCAGCTGACAGTCCTATGGGAACTCCCCTGTAGGTAACTATCTGCTTTTCTCTTGCTGCTTTTAAGATTCTCTCTTTATCTTTGACCTTCAGTATTTTAATTATGACGTGTCTTGGAGTGGCCTCTTTGCATCCACCTTGTTTGGGACCCTGTGCTTCCTGGATTGGCATATCTGTTTCCTTCACCGAATTAGGGAAGTTTTCTTTCACTATTTTTTCAAACAGATTTCCAATTTCTTGCTCTTTCTCTTCTCCTTCTGGCACCCCCATGAAGCAAATGTTGGACCTCTTGAACTTGTCCCATAGGCTCCTGACACCATCCTTGTTTTTTGGAATTATTTTTCTTCTTCTTCCAATTGGTTGTTTTTTGCTTTATGTTGCAAATCATTGATTTGATTCCCAGCTTCATCCACTCTCCTGTTGCTTCCCTGTAAATTGTTCTTTATTTCAATTAGTGTATCCTTCATTTCTGACTGGATCTATTTTATGCTGTTGAAGTTTTCACTAAGTTCCCTGAGCATCCTTATAATGAGTGATTTGAACTCTTCATCTGATAGAGTGCTTATTTCCATTTTGTTCAGTTATTTTTCTGGAGCTTTGATCTATTTCATTTGGGCCATGTTTCTTTGTTTCCTCATTTTGGCAGCCTCCCTGTGTTTGTTTCCATGTATTAAGCAGAGCTGCTATGATTCCCTGTCTTGGTAGCATGGCCTAATGTAGTAGGTGTCCTGTAGGGCCCAGTGGCACAGGCTCCCCATCACCCAAGATGGGTGCTTGAGGTGTACACTTCATGTGGGCTGACTACACCCTCCTCTTGTACTGGAGCTTTGGTTGCTGTTGGCAGGTCAATGGGGGCGATTTACGCAGGCCTGTCAGCTGCAAGGACTAGTTGTAACCACTGACCACCAACTTCCGCCCTCTGTGGAGGATCAGCTGTGCAGGGGCAGGGTGGTGGTGCTCTGACGTGGTCTGTGGCTGTCCACTGGGTGCACAGGCCCTGGGGTTACCCGGGTGGTGCAGGCTAAGGTCAGCCCCCACCTGTGTTTTGCCCGGGGCCAACCTTCATGAGCTATAAAGCAATCTGAGAAGGCTGCTACCTCTGCTCCACTGGAGATTCTCAGGCAAAGCCAAGCAGTGAATCTATGCTGGGTGCTGCTAGTGCCATGCCTGGGACCACTTAGCAAGAGGTACGGGGCCTGGGGCCCTCGCTGAGGCCAGCTGTTGCTTGTTTGAGAGGATTTAGGAAGTTGGGAAGCATGAGCCAGGACCAGCGCTTCCTATGAAAAAACCACTGTTTACAGATGTAAGTTGGGTGGGATGGAGTCTCGGGAGGTCTCCAGAGTGGGGCAAACAGCATTTGCCAGGTTGATAGAGTCTCAGATACAGCACCCGCCTGCAGGCTCTCTGGCTTTTTGGCTCTGTCGGGGGAGGGTTCAGAAAAGGGACAATGCCTGCCTTCCTGTCTGGGAGGAAGCTGTGCCCTAGCTCCTGCCTGTATGCCAGACACTTCATTTCCTCCCTGGGTGCCACTGGTGCCTTTCAATCTGCTACCCCGGAGCTCAAGAGAGAGTGAGTTTGAGTAGATGAGTCCATATGAGGGTTCTTTAAGAGGAAATACTTGGGACTCTAGAAGTTTCTTCCACCAACTCAGACCCTCCTGGTTTTTGCAGTCAAGTTATGGGGATTTATTTTCCTGGAACTGAAACCCTGGGCTGGGGACCCTGGTGTAGGGCTGGACTCCCTGCTCCTAAGACATCCCTCTGGAGTTTTTATCCACCACATGTGGGTGTGGGACCAGCCTGTCCTGTGTCTCTGCCTCTCCTACCAGTCTGGATGGATGTGGTTTCTTTAATTCCACAGCTGTCAGACTCCCATTCAACTTGATTTCTGATGGTTCTGGGTGATGGTTGTTCTATAATTTAGTTGTAATTTTGATGTGGTTGTGCAAAGAGGCAAGGCGTGTCTTCCTATGCCACCATCTTGACTGGACGCCTTATACCACAATTTGTTAATCCAGTCAGCCAGGGATGGATCTTGGTTGTTTCCACCTTTGACAACTGCAAATAATGCTAGTATAAACATTTGTGAACATACCTTTTCAGTTTTCTTGGCACAATTCTAGGAGTGGAATTGCTGGGACATAGGGTAACTCTAAATTGTTGAAAATTGACAAACTGTTCTCCAAAGCAGCTGTACAATTGCACATTTCCCACCGGCAATGTACAAGGGTTCCAATTTCTCCACTTCCTCACCAGCATTTATTTTCTTTTTGAAAAAATTATAGCCATATATTCAATGAGTATGAAGTAGCACCTCATTTTGTTTTTGATTTGTATTTCCCTAATGACTAATGGTGTTGAGCATCTTTTCATTTGCTTGTTGGCCACTTGAATATCTACTTTAGAAAAATATCTATTCAGGTCCTTTGCATATTTTAATTGGATTATTTGTCTTTTCATTGTTGAGTTGTGTTCTTTATATATTCTAGGTATTAGGCCCTTATCAGATATATGATTTGCAAACATTTTCTCTTTTAAGTTCTTTATTTATGTTCTTGATAGTGTCTTTTGAAGTACAAGTTTTTACTTTTTATCTCAATAATTATATTGAGTACGTACATGTTTAAATAATAACAGTTCTGATACATTGAGTTGTGTAACATATATTATTAAAATTAACCTTACCTGTCTCTTTTTTCCATCTTCAAAGGTGACTATTAGAAAATTTGAAATTACATACGTGGCTCACATTATAACTTTATTGGACACTGCTGGATATGTCTTTACAACAGCCCTTTTTTAAACTGCATTCCCTTCCTCTGCAGTCATGCCTGTCTTGTCTTCTTTTAATTAAGATCTAGCTGGCATGCACTGTTCTATTAGTTTCAGGTGAGTCTGCGTTTGCTCACCGCACTGGCTGCAGGCACCACTGTCACCATGGCAACTTACCCCTATTGACTGCACCCCCCTCTCTGTGTTCACCCATCTCTCCACCCCACCCCCTCTGGCAACTATCAGTTTGTTCTTTGTTTTTATGAGTCTGTTTTTCTTTTGTTTGCTCTGCTTTTAAAAAAAAATCCACTTATCAGTGAAATGCAGTATTTGTCTTTATTATTTCACTTAGCATGGTACCCTGTAGGTGCACCCATGTTGTCACAAATGGCAGGATTTCATTCTTTTTTATTGCTGAGTAATATTCCCTTGTGTGTAAGTGCCATATCGCCTTCATCCGTTTGTCTGCCAGTGGACGCCTCGCTTGCCTCTGTATCTTGGCCATTGTAAATAATGCTGCAGTGAACCTAGAGATG